TTCAGAAGCATGTGCAGGATCTGATTACACTTCAGAAACTCTTCTCAGTTTCATCTTATTATTTTAACCCTTTCTTTCCCTTTTTGGGCCATTCTGACTTTTTCTTGTTTTTTTTTTTTTGAAAAGTGCCTCAGATTCACCCCCCCCCCCCGCCCGGCCCTTTGCTTTTTAAATGAGGCTGAGCCTAAAAATTAATTAACCACAATTTTACCTCTTCCATCAGGCCCCGTTGACATCCCTAAACAGAATCTCTTGGACTTGTCTGTATGCCCTGCTCTTTGTAAGGTCTCCACAAATGGTTCTTAAATTAATAATGACATTGAAAAGTTCACAATTTAACTGACGAATATCAGAAACATCCAAACACCATTAGCCAAATCTAGGCCCCATAAAAGCTAAATTTTATGATATGTTTTTAGGACACTTTTAATAACAGTGATATTTTTAATGCATTGAGTAACATTTTTAATTTCTTGAGCAAATGACAATTTTCTACATGTAACATATCATTTAGTTCTCACTGCATCCCTGTGAAATTGGTTTGGCAGGTATTATTTTCTATTTTACACATGGGAAAACAGCCAGCAGGTCTCTCCACGGTGTGGCAGAACCACATTGGAACACATGTCTTTCACTTCCAAACCCAGTGCTCTTTTCATTTTAGGACACTGCCTCTGGGAAATTCTGCGAATGGGCAGCAAAAAATGAAAACTAAAGTAACTTACTTTTTTCAAACAATAGGAAAATGAATAACAATGGGAACATCTGCCAAGAAATCTTATATAATAAACGTATCCATTAATTGTCAAGATACGTTTAAAATGTTGTTGTTGGTGCCTAGGGTGGATTCCGACTCCTAGCGACCCTGTGTACAGCAGAGCGGGACACTGCCGGGTCTTTTTGCGCCATTCTCTCACCTTCCAGTGCTATATCAGACATGCTCCACTGCTATTTATAGGGTTTTTATGGTCAATTCTTTCGGAAGTGGGTGGCCAGGTCCTTCTTCCTAGTCTGTCTTAGTCTGGAAGCTCCGCTGAAACCTGTCCACCATGGGTGACCCTGCTGGTATTTGAAATACCGGTGGCATAGCTTTCAGCATCACAGCAACACCCAATCGACACAGTATGACAGCCGACAGATGGGTAGTGTGGTTCCCTGACCAGGAAATGAACCCAGGCTGAGTGGTGAGAGCAGCCAATCTTAACCACTGGACCTCTATGGCTGGAGTGTTTAAAATGTAGGCTCCATCAAATATTTTTAAAAATGCATACATGTGTGGAGGGCATGGAATATTTCCACTGTATTCCTGCTATCTAAGCTCAACTAGCATTAGTTCTCCACACAACCTACACTCAAATATGATTATAAAGGGATTTCACTATTTGGAGGACAAAGAAGAGGAAGCAATGTCACAGAATGTGCAGTGTAATATTTATCCCATGTACGCTAAAAAGCTAGAGATGGCAGGGACACCCCCCCATCCCCTCCACACTCAGCCCAAGAGGTGCTTCTGATGAACAGTTGTTCAAAGCCCACATTATCTACTCTTCTTATTTCAGACATAGGTCAAATACTCATTGCTAATAAAATATGTTTGCATTTATGATACCTGGGCCGTGATGATAAGCATTATCACCTTACTTAGTTTTTCCTGAAAAAGTGAACGAAAGAGGAAGTTAGTCTTCAAAGCAACTTATCTTTGATCAGTGTGACCAGTACTTTCAGGATCACTAGTGCAACCTTTGAGAAACAGGCGATTATAAAAGTGTCCAAAGGGCATCTCAGGCTTGGCCAAGCGGACAACAACCCCTGGTGCCCGGCAGGACTGCTATGGGGGTGTCCAGTCCCTAGTGTGCAAAGTAACCGACTGCTCGTCCATCCCACAGCTTGGCGCCCGATGGGGTGGCGGCCCGGCAGGCAGGCCCCGGGCTCGCAGTGGCCGAGACGGTCAGCCCCTCCGCCGCCCGGGGGAGGCTGGGGGGTGGACACAGGACTGGGGCAGTGACCTTGACAGCCCCTCCGCCGCCCGGGGGAGGCTGGGGGGTGGACACAGGACTGAGGTAGCGGCGTGACAGCCTCTAGGTGGCCCGGGGCAGTGCCCGCGTCGGTCCCTCCGCGGCCCCGGGAGGCTCACCCGCGAGGGGGTCTCCCCGGTGCCCGGGCGCCTCTAGCGGCGGGACCGCGGCGCACCTGGGGGGGCTCGGGCGAGGGCCGCGGGGCTCCGGGAGACAGCAGTTGGGGGTCCTGCAGCGGGCCGCGGGCGGGCGGCGGGCCCTACCTCCTCGGTGGCCGTGGGGCAGTAGGAGATGAGCACGAGCGTGGTGAGCAGGTTGATGGCGAGGCCCAGGAGGGTGATGGAGTTGGGGGCCATCCACAGCGGGACCCACTGGAGCAGCCAGGTCCAGTAGAGCTGCAGCGGCGGCTCGAGCAGCGAGACGCCCGCGGCGCTGTAGCGGTGCTCCTCCAGCCGCCGCAGCTGCGCCGCGCTCAGCGGCTCCGCCAGCGCCTTCAGCCAGCGCGGCGCCGGCCTGGCCCC